AGAGGAGAGGAGAGGAGAGGAGAGGAGAGGAGAGAAAGAAAGAAAGAAAGAAAGAAAGAAAGAAAGAAAGAAAGAAAGAAAGAAAGAAAGAAAGAAAGAGAGAAAGAAAGAAAAAGAAGAGAGAAAGAAAGAAAGAAAGAAAGAAAGAAAGAAAGAAAGAAAGAAAGAAAGAAAGAAAGAAAGAAAGAAAGAAAAGACAGGCAAATGTAAAAAAGTTAGATGACAGGGTTAATTAATTTCCATTTCCCAAGCCTGGAAATAGTCAGCTGCCTTGTTCACATTCTCCTCCACAGGCAGCTATGTCCTCAAGAGCAGGAGAGAAACTGGAGTTTCCCTCTAGCAGTTGGTCCCACTGCGCTCCCCCAAGATCTGCTGTTTCATTGTTCTTGAGGTATGGAGTAAAATGTTATACCCTATGAGAGGAGTCATAGCCAAAAGTTTATCACCCAACTGGATGTTACCAAAGACTCAATAAGTGGGACACAAAAGACCCAGCAACTTTATCCTTATGAAGCATACTTGAGGAATTTTACATAAAAGTATTACTGATTTATGGAATCTTCCTTTTCAAATTATAACAAAATTGCTTTTGTGAAGTATTTTTTTAGGCTGCTAGATATTTTTGTCTAAAAGCAGCCAATTGTAAGATCTTAAGATAGGCAACTTTATAAAAGTTCTTCCTTTGGCATCTTAAAAAAGTCAACGTCTCTTTTTTCAAATTCCATAAATTCACAGCCACATTAAGTTAAATACCATCAGCCTTAATAATGTTTTTGTCAACCATAAGATTATTGTTCTACATTTTACCTTCTTCCTAAGAGCAACAGGACTGATCAGTATATCTTGTGTTAGAAAAGTTTAACATCTTCCAGGATTTTCTTGGATATTCTATAATTATTATAAGAATAGTAAGAGTGAATAACATTTATTTTGAAATTACTGACTGTCAAACACTGTTATAAGTGCTTCATATAAAGTAGTTTATTTGATCTTCATAACAACCCTACCAAGTAGGAACTATTATCATTCCCATTTTACAAAGGAGGGAATTATGACACAGAGAGATTTAGTAACTTCTCATAGTTACCTAGCTGGTAGCTGGGGAAGCCTGAATTCAAACCCCAGAAGCCTGACTCCAGAGTCTGCACTCCTAAATTCTAGGTCATGCTGCCTCACTATACACAAACAAGTTAGTTGCACGTGTGATCAGGCCAGGGTCTGATGAAGGCGAGCACTACAGTGTTGGTATTTGCTACATCACAAACTATGCTAACCTCCACTTCCACACAATTCATCCCCAAAAATATAAGCCCATTCAAATATGTCTGTTTAAAACTAACATTTTCAGAATAGTATATGGTTTTGCCATTTTGTTGCACATATCTACCTCCTAAAAATACAGCAGTCAGACATGTATTCATTTTTAAAAATTACTCTGACTTTTATAAAAGTCCAAGATATGATACTTTATCCAGTGTATTTTGAAACCATAAATATAGCATTAATATTTAAGATCAAGTATTCTGATTCACATTAAAGCTTATAAGACCTCAGGCTCAGCATACATCCTTCTCAACATTTCAGGGAATCTCTAAATCCTTGGAATATTCTCAATCAGTTTACTGACTTGCATACCTATAGGCTCCAAGCAGGTAAGTTTAATATATAAATTCTCTGAAGTATAATATAATCAGGAGTGGGGGATCAACTGGAGAGGGCACATTCCATCTCAGAACACTTAAAGTCAATTTTTAAAAATATTGTGTCAGTTACATATAATATGACCTGAGACTATATTCTAGCATAGCAACATGCCTCTTGACCTGCCCAATCTTGCCAATACATCTGAAATGGATGTACTTTTTCATTATAATCACTTGTTTATTAGCTACGAATTCCCCAAGTATAAGTTTCATGAAGGTAGGGACACAGTCTGTCTCTTTCACCCTTATATTCATTCAGTCATTCAGAAAATAGTTTTGAACTCTTACTAAATACTATTGTTCTAGAAGCTGGGATCTAGCAGTGAACAAAGCAGGCATATTCCCTGTACTCATGCCCCACTGATCTTATTTTAGCGGGGAGATAGAGAACAAATGAATAAATAAGTAAAATTAGACTACGCTCAATGATGATAAAAAATATAGAATAAAAAGTAGATGGGCAGAGGATTGTGTGGGGGTAGTGAGGGTTGATATTTTATAAACAATAACAGAGAAGATCTCTCTAAGAAGGTAACATTTGATTAAAGATATAAAAGAAAAGGTGAGTATACATGTATAAATCTGGAGAAGAGCTTTCTAGACAAAAGGAACAATGAGCACATATGTCCTCAAGCAGGAAAGTGCTTTGCCTAATTGAAAAATATCAAAGAGGCCAGGGTGGCTGAAGTGGAGGAAGCAAGGGAAAGAGTAGGAATACATACAGAAAGGTAAGAGGAAGGGGTGCCATTCATATAGGGCCTGGTATTATGATGACTTTGGTTTCTTCTCTGAATGAGATGGGAAGCCATTGGAGGAGGTACATGATCTGGCTTATGTTTTAATAATATCACTCTGGCTACTATGCTGAGAAGGAAGGTAAAGGTAGACAAAGGGAAATTAATTAGTTAGGAGGGCATTGCCATAATGAAATATTAAAAAAAAATGATGAGGGAATGGACCAAGGTGGTAGCAGACAAGAAAGCAAAAAGCTATGAAATTTCTGAATATGTTTTAAAGGTGGAACCAATGGATTTGCTGATGGATTGGATATGGGGTGTGAAAAATGGAGAGGAATCAAGATTTTTGGCCTGAGTAACTGGAAGAAGGAAGTTGTTAATTTACTGAGATGGAGAAGACTATGGGAGGAATAGGCTTGGGGTGAGGGGAAAGGAAGAATCAAGAGTTTAATCCTATACAAAATTCACAATGCCTATTAGGTACCCAAGTGGGGATGTCTAGAGGCAACTGAATATTTATGATCCTGAACTTCAGGGAAGAGGTCCAAATTGGAAATATAAATTTAAGATTGGCCAGAGCATATGTGGTATTCAAAAACACAAGATGGGATCGAATTACCAAGGGCATTATTGTAGGAGAACAGGTCCAAAGACTCAGAACTTGCAAAGGTTTAGATGTCCAGGAGATAAGGAGAAACCAGCAGATGAAACTGAGAGAGTCATAGTAAGTGCAGTACCATGGAGTACTAAATTCCGCTTCAAGGAAAGACTTGTTTCCCGGCTTAAGGAAGTATGGGCAGCAGACAGCCACAGTTATCAGCTACTTTAGGATTAGCCTTAGCAGCAGAGACCACCCTAGCAAAAAGCATGCCCTTCTCTAACAAGCCCACTTAAGAAAATAATATTTTCTATATTAGAAGCCTATTCTAGCAATTTTTAATTAAAGAGTCCTATACTTAGTAATACTGGAGGAACCATCAGATGAAGAGATTTAAATGAAACCCCATATTCAAATTCAGCTTTCTTCCTCTTTTGAATTGTAATATCTGAAATAGCTCTTTAATTCCAGTAAGTTTTACATTTTATACTTAAGTAGTAACTATAAGTATTTCCCTAAATATTTGGGAGGTTCTATCACTTCCTTGGTCATGCAATTATAGCAACAGAAGCAAAAATGCAGATAGGAACAAACAACTTCAAGTAGCTTATTCTACTCGATGGCAATTATTTGCTAATTTTCAATATTTCTAATAGACAGTCAAAAACTATGCATCTTTGTATCTATGGTATCTAAGCATGTGCTAGTT